TTACTATTCTTTGCACTATAGGCAATTTGAAAATTAACAAGGCATTATGTGATTTAGGAGCTAGTATAAATCTGATGTCCTATTCGGTACCCCAACCCACTAGAGTTGCATTGCAGTTAGCTGATAGGTCCATAAAGCATCCTAGGGGAATCATAGAAGATGTTCTTGTTAAGGTTGATAAATTCATTTTTCTTGTGGACTTCATAGTGTTAGACATGGAAGAGGATGTTGATGTCCCACTTATCCTAGGGCGACCCTTCCTAGATACAAGAAAGGCAAGGGTTGATGTCCAACAAGGACAACTCAGCCTTAGGATTCAAGATGAGGAAGTAATTTTTAAAATGTTTGATGCTATGAAACATGCACCCTGTAGTGATGACACATGTTATATGATAGGTGTCATTGATTATGTGGCTGGTGATGACTTCATAGTGTTAGACATGGAAGATGATGTTGATGTCCCACTTATCCTAGGGTGACCCTTCGTAGCTACAGGAAAGGCAATGGTTGATGTCCAATAAGGACAACTCAGCCTTAGGATTCAAGATGAGGAAGTAATTTTTAAAATGTCTGATGCTATGAAACATGCACCCTCTAGTGATGACTCATGTTATATGATAGGTGTCATTGATTATGTGGTTGGTGGGTGTTTTCAAGTCAACGGGCAGTGCCTCAAACCATATGTAGCGGATGGAGCATTGCCTATCCCATCAACTGTATACCTAGATATTCATTGATTACATTGTAATGTCGAGCTTCGGACAGAAAACAAGCGCTTATTGGGAAGCAACCCAATGCTGATGAGTAGTTTCTTTATTTTATTTGTTTTTCTGTCGAGCTTCGGACAGAAAACAAGTGCTTATTGGGAAGCAACCCAATGCTGATGAATAGTTTCTTTATTTTATTTGTTTTTCTGCTTTTCTTTTTCCATACCATTCGATGTTTTCTTTTCTAGGATCTTAATTTTGTAGATTGTTGATCTCTCTTAGTGTTTCTCATTCTCTCCTTCTAGTTTATTTTGACCTTAGCAGCTAGAGGGTCCAACGGAAGAGCCAATTCAGAATTTAGCACTTTCTTCAGGGAAGTTCTCTAAACCCCTTCAAATGCTTGAAGTCCCATTGCTCACATTGCTGAATTCATCTTAGCACTTTCTCTATATGAACATTGAGGGCAATGTTCATGATAAGTGTGGGGGAGGCTGTAGCTATGCACCTCAATCACCCCAATACATAAATGCATTGATAGGCTGCATAAACTGAAAATTCCCTCAACATTATTGTCGTCTATAGGGTGAATTTTAGGAAGGAATACGATGAAGTCGAAGGAAATCACTATAAGTGCTAGAATGTGTTACTGTGAAGTATCCAATTTTATCACAATACATGAGGATGAGGAAGTCAAATAGGACTTTCATCATGACCAGCACTAACTCTACTCATGTGTATAGTACACTTGATTGAAATCTTAATGATCATTCGAGTTATTAGTGCATCATGGACTGTTAATGCATGAACTTCAACAATTGGTTCAGGAAAAAAAAAAGACAAGAGAAGAAGAAAGGACAAAGTCCGAATTACTCCACTATCATGAACTGAATAGTAAAACTAGTGGTTCATGATATGAGTTCAGTTCCAACTCCGCTATTCCAAGTTGAATAGTAAAACTAACAACTTGGAATATGAGTATTGTTATCTGCCTCTAGCTTGTGACCCGTGTGAGATGGAGCATAAAATGCACTCACACCAAAAAATAAGAAGAAAAAAAAAAAGAGAAAATAATTCAATGACAGTTGAGGTTCAAGGGGACAAAAACATAGTTGGAAATTCAATTGAGTGCATTGACAGGATTTGAGACCAAGCTCGAGGTGGTGGTTAATTATAGCGGTCAAGGAGATGCTATACACATTGAACGGAATTGAGTGCTAGAGCATGAAGAATCTCATGTTCTCCTTTCCTTTGTTCTCATGTATGTGGTAAGAGTGACTAATCATGGGGATGAATAAGAATGTTTATGCAGCATTCCCGACCACTTAATGCATTCTTATCCTACAATTCATTCGGTAGATGGTAATAATCTAAGGAATGATTAGTTTATGGGTAATATATTTGCTTGAGGACAAGCAAAAGCTTAAGTGTGGGGGTGTTTGATGTGTGCGCATGCTACACATCATTTTTATTGCTTTATACATGGTTTTGATGATGATTTTCAATGATTTTTACTCTAATTGAGAAAGATTTCAGGAAACCAAGAGTTTGGGACAAACTAAGGTGAAGAGAGCATGAAGACATGTTGATATGGCGAAAAGGGAAGCAGTTCGGCCTACCAAGAAGAGAGGCCCACCGGTAGCCCAACTGAAACCCTATGGGAGAACAGTAGTTCGGCCCACCACGGAGAAGTGCTGGTGAAGGAGAGCAGCCCAACAGTAGTTCGGCCCAAAGGCAGCCCAGTTGTAGCCTTAGGGGAGGCTCCAAAAAGGCGGCTGACTTTAGAGAAGAGGGAGGCTGAAAGGAAGAGTATAAAAAGAAAAGAAAAAGAATGAATTAGGGTTCGGACCCCTGAAGACAAAACAGAAGAGAAGAAGTGCTAGTGAAGGAGAGAAGAGGGAAAAGGCTGTTGAATGCGAATTGAAGAGGAAATTGAAGGTTGATGCAGAAATCTTAGGTTGTCTTCTTCTTTGATTCTGCAAATTCGGTAACCTAGATTCGATTAGGGTTTCTTGATTTTTTTTATTGAATCTTTCTTCTCTTCTTTCTATTATGCGAACCATGATGGATTTTAATTCTGATATGTAATTAATATTTTAAGCAGATCTGATTGTTTGTGAYTCATTCTTGGGATTTCTTGATTAGGGTTTTTGATTAGTAGAATAATCTTGGCCGAATTATTCTTGTTTCTTGGATTKCTTGAATTGCTTGAGAAAGGGTTTAGGTAATCAGATCAATTAATCAAGAAAACGGATTTAATGCATCTTARAGATAATATGCATGGTTCGTTTGGCATCCATTCATTCTTGAATTGATGACCTTTGAATTCTTTGTTCTTAATGCATCTATGGCGATTAAATTTCTGATAGAGATATAAGAATTATTGCTCATAGATAGAGTGGGTTGTGCTCGAGAGAAGCTGCTCATATAATTAGGGTTTCGCCAACCCAAGACTGAATTCACTTCGGTTGGRTARCTTAATGATTTMATTGCTAAAMCSGKT